AAAAAAACGGTAACATAATCAATTTTCCTTCCTCCTTGTAGCGCGCCCAGACACGCCCTTAATTAACTAAAAAAATTACATCTTTATTAATAATAAATTAATTATTAAACAAAAATATTAAATATAAACTAAGGAAACGTGCATTGCACGTTGCTTGCACCTAGTATATATATATATATATATATAAAACAATAAGAACTTGTTACATCACATCAAAATTCATCCAACACTATCATTTGGGGTGAACAAGAATTAGGGATAGAATGGCAGGCAAAATTACTAATGACTGAGATATTAGTCGATTAACACGTTTTTTTTTTTTTTTTTTTGGGGACGCTACTGTGAATGCGTTATATATGACTAGTAAGGTGGGCCAATCTCGAAATTCGAATGTTTGTTGAACATCGGATGGATCAAAATTGACTATCTGAATTTAATATGCTCTAATACCATATTGATTCTTGATATTCCACCTTAAAGGATCAAACTTATTTAAATAAGTAATACAAATCCTTAATTTATTGTTATTATTTCATACTTAAATGATTATGGTATTTTAGAATACATTTGTTAGTGCATGATCATTTTCCTAAAGACGATAATGAGACATGATGTCTTATAAAAAAATTTAGCCCATTTTTTATGAGGATTAAAATCTTTATTAAATTTAAATCAAAGTCAACAATTAATTTTAATCACATATTTCATAAAATTCACAACTTATAAAACACACAGTTCATCAATTTTTATCAAAATGTACTAAAAATATGATTTTAATTCCCCAATCGCTTTAAATCTAAATTTTTGCTTCAAATATGCTATTTTCTTGAATTACGTTAGTTTTATTACTAATATTTTATGTAAATGTTTACTTGGACTCTATATGTGTGAGCCCCGCATGTTGAATTATAATTTAATATATGGACCCCATATATGCCTTAAAAATTACTTATAAGTTTAACTTAATTATAATATTAAACAAACTTTACCTAAGCGTGCAATCAAAAAAATACAACTTCAATTTTGTCACATTTTATACGAGAAATAGCATTGAGAAATCCAGTTCTTAGTTGAAGGAATTCCAAGTGATGTACTTGAAAAATTAGAAATCCAACATTTTAGTAGAATAAAAGATATCGTTTTTAATTTGAATTTCAGAATTTCGAACAGTTGGCATGTATCCCACATCCATTAAACCCCTATTTGAGCCACATTCTCATTCTTCTACTCATTTTCAACCACACGTTTTTCAATAAAATAATATTTTATATCACAACAATAACTTTTCCTTCTTTTTCAACCGCATATTCTCCATCAATCTACTATTCTAAAATATATTGTTTCAAAATAATGTGACTCAAACACACTCGAAACCGCATTTTCCTCACGGAAAGAGTACAACCTCCAGAAAATTTTTCGACCTTATTAATTGCATGATAATCATATGATAATCTTCCCACTTAGCTGCACTTTGAATGGACATGCTCCCCATCGGATGAACAAGAATCTGCTGATAACTTGAAAGCAGCCAGTACAATTCTTGAATTAAAAGAAAGCAAACATCAAATTTAATGTTCCCCATAAAATTGGGGTCGACTGCATGAATATTCAAATTAGTAGAAAGTACGTAGCTGAAATTAGAAAGAAGCTGACACCTGTTACTTTTGAGGACTACAGAGACAACAACTGAGATTTGTGATCGATGCCATTGTAGATAAAAGTCCCACACATTGGAACGAATTGTCTTGTAATGAGCTGTAGTTCAGACGACGACTTCAGTTAGCTTTGAAACCAATTGCGATCTTTTGAAATAATCAGTTTGAGGTTAGATTCCTAAGAGAAGAACCCAGATATGTTATCCCGAATTTGCTCTCTCTCAATAGATTTTTGACACCTCAACACATCATATCTTAGCAAATGGGAAGTTGCCAAGGTGTTGTGTCAAGGTGTCAAAAATGTACTGGCATCTTCCTATATTCTAAGAAGTGATGTGCTGAGTTGTCAAAAATGTATTGACAAGGAGACAACAAATCCGTGATAGCATATCTCAAGTAAGAGAATTTTGACCAAAAGACTAGAAAAGTTCTACTGTACTAGTAATTATTTCTTTGTATAATGATCGAGCAATATTTGTTGAAAGATTACATAATTGAGTCGTTGGAATATAAGATAGCACGAACCTTGATTACTTCTTGTGATGCAATGCCCCCAACATAGGCCGCCACAGCATGAAGTTCTGCAGCACCATATCGACACATCTCATTGATAAGGTCTTCTGTTAAGGTTGACCCGTTGCAACCCAAGTCACCAAGTAAGGCGACCGCTATTGTTTTCAATCTGGATATGTCCTCATCCATCTCACTGCAAAATTTTTAAGAACAATTTTATACTCTCGAGGTAACCTTGTCAAACGAAACACACAGAAATATAGCTAAGGCTTTAGGTTTACCCATCAAATTGCCCTGGGAAACTATTATAGTTTGCAGCATAACGATCTGCAGCCCGAAGTAGAATATAGAATCCCACAGCAACACTGAGGTGTGCAGTACTAACAGCGGTTAGTAAATGAAATTTTCAATTTTTGCTAGAAAAGAAAATTCATGCTTCGTATAATTTCAAGTTTGCTATAAAGCTTTTCCATCAATCACCTCTTTCTTTGCAAAAGCCAACTCGTTAATGCACTTGCCTTGGGTAATTAGCTGGATTTTGTGGAGTGTTAATTGCATATTCTCGAACTTTTATATCACACCTACCATTTTATAGAACCAAATCTACCCAGACCCCCATTTTCCCCATCTCTGCAAGCAAATGAGGGTACATGATAACAGGGAAATTGTACCCAAGAGGTGATGTCATAAAATGATCTTAAAGAATGATTGTTCAGAAGCAAGAGGACATGTTAAAAGTTTTTGAACAGAAGACATCATAACTCAGGAATAGTGCTTGTTTGGTAGCTTTTAAGTGCTAGGTCCTATGAAAAAATATGTGGACAGAAAGTATATTTGACAAGCTTTGCCAAACATTCTCATAATAAATTGAGACCTGTCTTTTTAAAGGAGATATAATGCCGTTGTTTGGTAGTGAATTTTTTTGAGAATAGATTTTGTAAAAAGTGAATTTATTATTTTTTTTTTTATTATTTATTTATTTATTTTATTTTTTTAGAATGTGTAGTTAAAAACTAGGAAAAAACCTAAGGATCCATGTAAAAAATTATTTTATTGAAAGAACGAGAGGTTGAAAATGAGTTTTAGAAAATGGGGACCAAACATAGGCAATATGTGCATGTCTGCAATAAATATTTACCAGGGAAGAAACAGAAAACCTGTCGTTTTCTTTTCATCTTTTTCTTGCGTAGTGGGGTGGGGATTGGAAGAGAGGTGAAGGATAGGCGCAACACCATCAGTTCCATAAGTTTCAACATAAATTTCCTGGTAAAATTTTCATAAATTCTCCCTCAGCCATGAACATATGATCCATTAAAAACCCAGCCTTCCTGTGCTTCCGGACACTTATCAGATCTTTTCCAATTCCCTCACCATTTGTGCAACAAACTTTTCCGGTCCCTGGTCATTAGTTCATTTCAGCCTATCAAAATGAGTTTTCCTTCTTTATAATGAAAATCTTAAACTACGGCGGCAAAATTCATTTTTCAGCCACTTCCCTGATTAGAAAACATCCGTGGCTTCATCACCCATTCAACTTATTCA